ACTTATGCTCTAATAAATTTGTTAGTCTCTAAATTTGACTGTAGTCCACGAAAACTTATGCTCTAATAAATTTGTTAGTCTCTAAGCTGCCACAAGTACTCCTGTTCTTCTTTTTGCGGATACAGACTAACACGGCTGCTACTCTGAAAACTGGATATACTGTTAAAAGACCAAAAAGAGCTGCTGTAGAGGCAAGCTCTTATAAAAAAACATTCAATAGTAACTACTTCATAACATGGAGCCCACTTAGAACTATTGGCAAAAATGCCTAAAATGGAATCTGCATCTAATAATATCTTATACTTTCTCCTACATCCAAGGGTATCTAGTTTATTTGAAATGTTTACAGTACAGATTTATAGTATCTTTTGATGATCATTTCCCTCCTTTATCTCTGCTTCTTATAATACAGCTTTTCTGTGTCATCAAAACTCCCTTTTGTTTTTCCTACTCTTTCTTCTGGTAATTTATTATATTCATTTCTGTGCATGTACACGCGCGCGCACACACATACACACACATTCTAATTGAAAAAGAAAGGAAAAGTCAAAAGTGACTGTGTGATTTAAATTGGTTACCCATTACTCCATTTTATTGTGCTTTTGTTCAGCTTTAAATCAGCTCACTTTACTTTTGAAAATCAACCAATTACTAACTGTGTTCTGTTTACCCAAAGTAGAGTAAGTGATTTAAAGCTACTATACAAAGATATAATATTATGTGATCAATCCCTCCCCTATTTAGATCTTGCTTTTGAGCTTCCACAAACAAAAAGGAAATATGTAGTTGTTCGAGCAACATTCTCTGTCCCATATTTTTCACTCGCCCCCTCCCTCTTCCAAAAGAAAGTGACTAGGGGATTTTAGATTGGTAATACTGAAGTCTTATTGAACGTTACTATCTCTTCTCCAGTGGAGACGGCCCCTTAACTGAACTGGAAGCATCATGCTTCCATGTAACTGTGGCCTATTTTTTTTGCATCTGGTTTTCTTTTAATTAGCCTTTGAGTACCCTCTTTGATCAACCAGGGCAAAAGGAAATGAATCTCTCTGTAGATATCCTTGAGTTCTGCAGTGCGAATGTGGGTTTTGTACATATTTTTCTTACATTTTTTTTCCTGAGTTATTCTGACCTTAGCTAGAACTCATCCATTTCCAATTACAAAGTGTTCCTTTCCATGCTGTGGTGACCTGAATGCACACTTCCCCCATGATTCTGCACTAGCATAAGCAGGAATTGTAGTGATGTCATCCTGAACAATTAGAGAAGAAAATTAGACTTGAAATTTATTTTTTATTAACCAATCAAAATAAATATAATCATAACAATGCAAATCCTGGCTGTTCTGCCAAACCCATAGGGGAAGGTTCTATTTTAAGAACCTGAGCGAACTTAGCAGATTCACTGGAAGTACTGCAACTGGAAATGACTCAAGTGAACTTTTCTAGGAAAAGTAATTTCAGCTGCCTGAAATCGACACACACACTTTCTTGTTAGTTTCCATTGTAAATCAAGGGGTGGTGAAAAGTTAAACTGAAGTTGGGAAGCGACTCAGGGTCACAGTGATCCCTTTTCTGTGCTAAACAGTAAGCTCTGCTGATATTAATCCTACTCTGTGGCTACAGTAAACAGGTATGCCAGGTTAATTCTATACTAGAATCTAGCAGAAAACAGAAGTGAGCTGCAGAAATCAGCCTGCTAGCAAACTGGCACTCATTAATGCCAGTTCTTCCAGCCATTCATGTGCTTCTATGCAGCTTTAGCATAGTTATTGTGCATACACTTCAGTGATTATCGTTATCAATGCATACTCTTTTGTTTAAAAATGTGTCCCCCCTCCCCCAGGAGACTGGACATGTCTGTGTTTTGCAAATTTTACAATACACTTCCCAAGATCCTAAACAAAGAGACTAAGTTTGCTGATGGAGGCACACAGAGGGCCAAATGTTTAGTCTGGCATTAATCAGGCCTCTGCTTTCCCTCATGCTAATTGCAGGAGCAATTTGGCTCTCAAGTATCCAGGTACCTGATTTGGAGCGGTAATGAGGACCGGATGATGATAACTGCTCCAGCAGTAACTCAGGGCACAAAGTTGGAGGAAACTGTTTAAAAAAACAAAAACCAACCCAACAACAAAAGAAAAAGACAACCTGGCCCATAGTCAATTTGGAAGTACATCCCCAAAAATAAATGGAACAATATTGACAGCAGCTTTACACAAGGACTTTATCCCACTTTAGAAAATAACAGCTATTGCTCTGTAGCAATGGAAAAACTGATAACAGACCCAAGCAGCATGGAAAATGAACTTTTCTATTTAGATCGTAACCTGTCTTCATCTTGCAGTATAAACAGGAGAGGAGTCTAGCCAGATGTTCTTTGTCAAGGCCCCACAGCTTTATTTGTAGGGTTACCATATTTAAAAAATAAAAAAAGAGGACACTCCACCGGGCCCTGGCCCCGCCCCTTTCCCACCCCCAGCCCCACCCAGCCCCGCCCCAACTCCGCCCATTTCCCGCCCCTTCCCCAAAGTTCCCGCCCTAACTCCCCCTCCTCCCTCCCAGCCACGCGAAAAGGGCTGCCAAGCGCTACCGGCTTCATGGTTTGCCGGGCAGCCCCCAGCCCCTGCGCCCCTGCCCAGCGCTTCCCCAGCGCAGCTGGAGCCCGGGAGGGGAAGCGCCCAGCCAGGGGTGCAGGATCTGGAGGCTGCCTGGCAAACCGTGAAGCCG